ACCTTAAGACCAGAAGAACTAGCTGATGCTGTGTGGCTACTAGCACCCACTGTTCCGAAAGGAATGGCATTAGAAGCCCCTGGATAGAGTGGGAGAAAGACGTGGAACAAAACTCAAAATTAGCTATGCCCAGGCTTCCTTGTAAGGTACAGACCGGTGAAAGCCCCAAGACCATGGTCCTTAGACATTCTTCAGAGGAGCAAAACGATTGATCAAAGTCCCCTTCAGACTCACCAAACACATGCAATGACGCCGAATGCAGGAAGATCACAGGCCAGTGGGTGAGAAGTCTTGTGGATCCAGTGGCATTGTAAACATCTCGGCATTGGCAGGAGTCTCTACGTGGCTTCTCCAGCTCAGGGCACTAGCAAAGCTCCATGTGTCTTGTCAGCTGCAATGTCTCCCAGGGTGTGAGCGTGGGTCCCGCCTCCAGCGAGCTATTTATCTCTGTAGTGCCTCCAAATGAGGTCATCAAGCTGTGACCTGATTGACAGGCTAAACTCCACCCCTTCACTCTTTTTTTAAATCATTTTATTAGGAGCTCATACAACTCATCACAATCCATACATACATCAATTGTGTAAAGCACATTTGTACATTCATTGCCCTCATCATTCTCAAAACATTTCCTCTCCACTTAAGCCCCCCGGCATTAGGTCCTCATTTTCCCCCTCCCTCCCCGCTCCCCCCTCCCTCATGAACCCTTGATAATTTATAAATTATTATTTTGTCATGTCTTGCCCTGTCTGACGTCTCCCTTCACCCACTTTTCTGTTGTCCGTCCCCCAGGAAGGAGGTCACATATAGTTTCTTGTAATCAGTTCCCTCTTTCCAACCCACCCTCCCTCTACCCTCCCAGTATCGCCACTCACACCCCTGGTCCTGAAGGGATCATCCGGCCTGGATTCCCTGTGTTTCCAGTTCCCACTTGCACCAGTGTACATCCTCTGGTCTAGCCAGACTTACAAGGTAGAATTCGGACCATGATAGTGGGGGCGGGGAGGAAGCATTTAGGAACCAGAGGAAAGTTGTATTTTTCACCATTGCTACATCGCACCCTGACTGGCTCATCTCCTCCCCGAGGCCCCTCTGCAAGGGGATCTCCAGTGGCCTACAAATGGGTTTTGGGTCTCCACTCACCCCTTCACTCTTAATCCTCTCAAATTGACAACAGATGATGTAACGGCCACACATGCCTAGGATACTGATCTTTATACATCCTATCCATTTTGTTTTTGACAACTTCCTAGATTTTGACAATTTTCCTAGCTGCGTAGTTCATACATTTCATGTTCTGGTTCTTAATGGCTGTTTGCAGCTTTCTTCTCAATTTTGAGTGGTGCCCCATTAGCAAATGCAGGTCCCCAATGTTTTGCTTTATCCATGTCATTAGAGTCAACTCTGTGTTGAGGAGGCAGCCCTTCCCCAGTTGTATTCTGAGTTCTTCCAACCTGAGCAGCTCCTCAGACAGAGCTCGGCTGTTTTTCATAAGGTGTTCTTTCAGAGGCTCATCCCACCTTGTCTGTAATATTACATGCGATCTGTTTCCCTACCGACTGTATGTCTTTTGGCTTTGCTCATGGTGTTACAAGTTTAACATGTGGAATATTTTTAAATACTTTAAATTAGATGAATCCGTCTTGTTTTATGACTTTGCAATTTTGAATCATAACCAGGGCCATTCTCCATCTCCCAAATAGCTCAAAGTGCTTTCCTGCACCTCAGCGGTTAAAGACCCACACTCAGGCACTTGCCTCCCCAACCAGAATGTGAGCTCCCCAGAGACAGGAAGAAGAATCAAGTCGTCTCTTGCCCTAGGACCTCCTTTATCTAGCACCGGGTAAAACCTTAAGAAACGCCGACTGAATTCACAAATCCCAGTGGAGGCAAAATCATCTTCTTTTTCTAAGCACGGTGAAGACGTCTTCTCCCTCGACACTCTTGGGCTTTGGTTCGTGGTTCCCTTTGTGCCTCAGGTCTGCTTTCCCGGAGGTAGGCAGGGCCAGCCTGCTTCTGAGTCATCCATTGGCCCGGTCATGGGACACCGAGCACACGTTGGACGTCAATAAAATCATCTCAGATAGTGATGTTTGGGTGACATAACAGGGCAGCGTGACAGCAAGCGGCTGGAGGGCTAGATTGGTCTGTGTCATGAGAGGGTCGCAGAAGACAGCCGCTTTCAAACTACGGCAATTCTGAGTGGTAAGAAACCAGCCTTTTGAAATTCCAGGGGCCATTCCCCCAGAAAGGGGGATTTGAAAAGGAGCACGGTGAAGAGACAAGAAGACAAATAGCTAGACTTTAAGACAATGGTGCATTTCTCCCGAGTCTCTAACAAGGCGTGGAATTGCTAGGTGTAGAATGCATACTCTTAACCACTGCGCAGTTCAATGAGACAGAAATGGTTAGATTTAGGAATGATGTTCTCAATCAGACCAATAATTGCTCTCACCTATGAGTGACCATGCTGCAAAGCCATTGACTTTTCTTATCCCTAATCCGCCCCCCAAAAAAACCCAGGAATCATTATCCCTGTTACACAGAGAGCCCCTGGTGCCCATAGAGATAAGGCTCAAAGAGCCAACAGGGGGTGGAGCTGGGACTACCACCCTGATTTGCCCGTCTCTGGTGCCCTCTGTACTTGGCACTACGTCTTGGGCCAAACCCTTGTGCAAAGCTTTCGAAACATGCCCCCTCCCCTCCTTTCAGCCTTTTCTGGAAGTCAAGGCTTGAAAGCTGACTTGCATTCCCTGGTGGGTGAGCGGGTAAGCTCAGTCCCTGCTCTTTTCCCCAGCTGGGCAGGAGACGGGGGGGAGGGGCTTCACTGGGAGCTGGAAATAAAATGGAGGGAGGGCTGCGCTGAGCAGGGCAGTATTGCAAGGAGGCGGTAAGGGGGAGGTAAGGATTTTTTGGGGGGTGGTGGTGGTGAGGGGAGACCTCCTGGAGAGCAGATGAGGTGGGACTTGGTGGAGTTTTTTGAGGGATGGGGAGTGAGACCAGAACTTAACATTCTTAGTAGCACTGAGGGGAGAGGGCTTTTTGGCCTCTGTGGGGGTTGGCCGGCAGAGACCCCACATTTTCAGAAGGAGAAAGTGACTGTACCTGACTGAAGGGGCCTTTCAGTCCGTGGTGACCCCTGAGTCCCTTGTCTGGTGTGCCCTCCCTGGGCTGGGGGCCATGGACAGAGAGAACACTGAGGGGTACTCCCTGGAGACCGGGGGCTAGAGCAGGCAGAGAGTTGAAGGGCGGTTGTCCAGGAAGGGCCTGGTGGAGAGGTGCCTCTGTGAGCCATTTGACCTTTCCCCCGAGGGAGGGTGAGACAGGGGCTTCAGGATGTGAATGTTTAATCCCAGCCAGAGAAGGACAGACATGGAAGGCTGGAGAAGGAACCACCAGAGCTGTCTTGGAAGAGATGGAGGGAAGAGGCTTAGGAGCAAAAATGGTGACAGGTGAAATCAGGTCTATCCACTGGACAGTATGGTCACCACTAGATGCTAGCTGCAAGTCATGGTGGTTATTGAAACTGGGGGCCAACAACAAAAATCAGCTCCTTAGTGACATTTCAAGTGTTCAGTGGTCACAGGTGGCTTGGAGCAATGGTCTTAGAGAGTATAGACAAAGACTCTTTCCACCATCGCATTAAGTTCTCTGGGCCAGTGGGGAGCCTTGGGAGAGGCTCATTGCTCAAGGACCCAAGGGAGAGAACAGGCCCAAGCAGGCTGCCGGGTGTGGACTGGGGCTGTCCTAGCTTGGGGAGGTCTCAGGATTGTAGGGAATGGTGTCCCCAGCAATGTGAGTGCTGTGTTGGTTACTGTGGGATACAGAAAGATTTCTCCCAAGTTGTCTCCCACAAATTTATGCCAAACCCAAGACGCTGCTTGCTACACATGGTAAATGACTGTACACTAGGTCAATGAAAGTAGGTCAGAGGTTATTCTCCTTAAAGGTATCAGCCATCTAGAGCAACCAGACTGTATAGCCTGACTCACCCTAAGTAAGGCCCACTCCCTTCTGATGTTGTTCCCTTGAAGGAGTGCCCAAAAGCAAGCCCAGGACCACTCACGATGGCTAAGGTTAGGCTACTATGTTGAGTCTCGGGTCCGCTCATCTTGCCACATATGTGCCCCATTCCCTCCCTGTACTATTGCGTGTACAACCCTAGGTCATCCCCCTCCTGTTGCTTGTATTGCCTATGTTACAACCCCTTCATATGACATAGATTGTTACCTATAATCAGAGGGCTTGCATGCCCCCCAAAGATATAGAAGCTTTGGTTAGAAATAAAACCTCATGCTCCCTCTCCTGCCCATTCATCTCCCACCTCCACGTGGACCACCAAGAGGAGCTGAGGTGAGCATGCTACCATGAAATGTGTCTGACTTCTTTGTTGTACTCTCTCTCTCTCCCATCTCTCCTATTTCTCTATGACTTTACTATAATCTTTATATATCTTAACCGTACAATTGCGCCTACTGAACCCGTGATTAGTTGTGGGGGGCTGGCTTCCCCCACAGCTTACCTGGTGCTGCTCTCACAGAAATCCTATCGATGTGTGACTTGGACAAACAAAATGATTTTCTCACCATTTAGAAGTCTGGACGTTTGAATTCAGGGGGAAGCTTTCTCTCTCTGTGGCCTCTACAGAGAAAGGTCCTGGTCTCTCTGATCTCTGCTCCTGGGACGTCTTCCCATAGCTTGGTATCTCTATTCTCCCATCTCTGCTCCCCCTTTTGCTTAATTTCTATTCTATCTAAAGAGACGGACGCAAGAGACACCCTGCACTAAGCCTGTTTCAGGAATGTAACGAAGGGAGCCCATTCCCCAGTGGGATTCGAACCACAGGCATCAGAAGTTAGGACTTTAACACATACTTTGGGGGACACAATTCAATCTTTTACAAGTTTGTGACTCATCTCTGCCGGGGCCTCCTCTTGCCAGCGTGATGTGGACTCTGTCCCCAGGGACAGGAACAACCAGGCAGGGCCTCTTCAGCGCCAGGCTGGGGCTTGTGACCAGTGTGACTGAGCCAGGGTCAGAGAGACATGCAGTGAGTGGGGCTGGCGGAAAGGCCCTGAGTTTGAGGGTGGAGGGGGGTCTCTGGCTCTTCACAGCTGGTGTGTATGGGGTTGGTGAGGGGAAAGTGCGTGTGGCAAGGACCAGGGAGGCGGCTTTCTGGATGGAATGGGTCATACGGTGTCAAATGATATGAGAGAACCCTTCTGCTCCTACCCTCCTGAGCCATTTCTGCTTCCTGCACAGGTCCAAAACAATCCAGTTGACAAGGATGGAATTCGCCATGAAATCCCTCAGCCTTCTCAACCCCAAATCCCTCTCAAGGTGAGGAGAGTCAGGGTGGAAGGGGCGTAGAGCTACCTATAAGCTATAGACCAGGCCTCAGCTAAATATAATAGCCTATAGATCACCCATGGATCTTATGAAAATGTAGGTTCGATTCAGGAGTTCTGGTGTGGGCCTGACAGTCTATAATTTTGAGAAGAGCCTGGTCAGGGTTAGACATTCTCCTGGGCTCACATTGAGTAGACAGAGGCTGGACATTATTCCTCATACTTAATAACAAGCCTCACAGCAACTCTGGGAAGTACAGGTTAGTGTGCTCGGTCCATAGATGAAGAAACTCAAGCATAGAGTAGGTGCTCTTATTTACATAGCAAATTGACAGCTGGGTCAGGGTTTGAGCTTGGGCCTACCTGACCCCACACTAGGTTCCCTTCACTGGTCTGCCTCTACCTTGTCTACCTCAGAGCTCCTACCTTCAGTGAAACTTCAGGCTTCATCACTTCTACCCACTTTACAGGTGGTAGGAGTGAGACCACGCTAGCAAAAGTACTGATTGAGGGGTGTGGGGTGGACCTTCTAGCACCTTGCAAGATCTTGTGGGATCTGGGGCCCAGCTGCACTAGAGGGAGCTTCTTGGAAATGCAGGTTCTCAGGTCCCACCCCAGACCTACCACACCAGCCAGAATCTGTATCCGAACAAGATTTCCAGTGGATTTATATGCCCATTAAAGTTTGAGACATAGAGGGAGAGTGGGTAGGAAAGAGGGAACCGATTACAAGGAACTATATGTGACCTCCTCCCTGGGGGACGCACAACAGAAAAGTGGGTGAAGGGAGACGTCAGACAGGGCAATATATGACAAAATAACAATTTATAAACTAACAAGGGCTCATGAGGGAGGGGGGAGCGGGGAGGGAGGGGAAAAATGAGGACCTAATGTCGGGGGTTTAAGTGGAGAGAAAATGTTTTGAGAATGATGTACAAATGCGCTTTACACAATTGATGTGTATATGGATTGCGATAACAGTTGTATGAGCCCCTAATAAAATGTTTAAAAAAAAAAAGTTTGAGACATAATGATGGGGGTGGGGGAGATGGTGGGGGGGATGAGGCTTCCTACTCTTCTAGTCTGTAATGATTGGCAGTCTCAGAAACCCACGGGGACAGTTCTACTCGGTCCTAAGGTGGCTTTGGGTCGACATGGACCTGATGGCAGTGACAGGTGGCTGGATTTCCAGTAGGAATAGCTAGAGCAGGCACGGTGCGGGATAGAGGAGTCTCGTGGTCACCAGGAGGCTGGCCGATGGGTGGGGTGGGGTGGGGTGGGGTGGTGAAGTGCCTGGCACTGGCAGCGGGGAGGGGGTAGTTGGAGGCAGCAGGTGACTCTTCCTGCTGTTTCAAACCTCCCTGTACGTATGTGGCCACCAGGTATGTGGCAATGAGCACTTCCGTGGTGACTCAGCAGCTGTCAGAGCCCAGCCCTGAAGCCCCCAGAGCCCGGCCTTACCGAGTGAGCAATGCTGACCGGAGCGTGCGCAAAGGCATCATGGCGCACAGCCTGGAGGACCTCCTTCACAAGGTGAGGGGGGCTGGGTCCCCAGGGAGCTCAGCAAGGGTGGCTTCATGGGTCGGATGGTTTGGATTGGTAGTGCCTGCCGGGAGGAGAGAGAGCACCATTGATTAGTGATGTCTGTCTGGTGACAGGATAAGGGCAGTATTCTGTCAATCACCAGTGTCCTTCTTTTTGCAGAGCGTGATCTTCTTGCTCTTAAGTTCTTGTTTCCCCGTAGTTCTTAAACTTAGAATTGTTTGGAAGTTGGAGAACTGAGCAAGCTTTTCGAAATCCCCTTCCCCATCTCCTACATTCAGGTGGAAGAGGTGGGAGGCAGGTGGGAGGAGGGGATCCCAAACCAAAAACAACCAACAGAAACGGTTGCTGTGGAGCTGAGCTTGTCAGAGCAGAACTATGCTCCTGAGTGTTTCCACAGCTGCTTCTGGAAAGACGATTGCTAGGCACCTGTGGATAGGCGGACAGACACTTCCAAAACCTTTCACTTAAACGCAGAGTGAATGTGTGAACGCTCCCTAGGACTCTACATCTGTCTTCTTCCACATCGGCTTTCTATGTAAAACTTTGCTAATAACGAAGACTATCTTGAAACGATAAATCGGTAAATTTCCAGAGGTAGAAAACAAGGTAGTACAGTTACCGTGGGTGATGCTCACAGCTGGCAAGACCGCCAGGCTCCCCCACCTTCATCCCCTGTCCCCAGCAGCTGCGAGTGGCGTTTCCCTCTGGCCCTCCTACAGCCTTTTCTACTCTTGGTCTGTATTAGTCATGGGGCCTGTGTGTCACTCCCCAATTGGTTTATCAGTTCCACAGGGGTGGAAACTCCTCACCTGGACCGTACCACTAGATGCCTAGCACAGGTCAAATGTTTGAGTTAAACTTCCATTTATTAGTCTGTTTAAAGCATAAAGATATAAACGGACCTAACTTCATATTCAAGTAGCCCAGGTGGCATAGTGCATTTCAGGTTAGGCTGCTAATTGCAAGGTCAGCAGTTCGAAACCCTTAGCCGCTCTATGGGAGAAAGATGAGGCTTTACTCTCATAAAATTTACCGCTTTGGAAACCCACAAGAGCAGTTCTACTCTGTCCTAAAAAGTTGCTGTGGGTTGGAATTGACTCAATGGCAGTGAGTTTTGGGTTGTTCTGACCCGTGGTCTAGACTTCCTCCCCCACTTTAACAGATTTATCCTTCCAAGGGGCCAATTTCCTGCCCTTTTGGAGGCTCTGACTTTGCTAGATTATGTTTCTTGTTTCTTGAACCAAAGGGTTCTGGTACAGTACAGTTTGAACGCAGTACAGTTTTGCCACCTAGGGCCCATGGATGGATGAACCTTGAAAACACTACACCAGGTGAAAGGGGCCAGACACTGAAGGGCATATGTTGAGTGATTCTATTTCTATGACATGCTCAGCCTAAGCAAATCCAAACCCCAGACTGAGCCCACTGCCATCGAGTTGATTCTGGCTCGGAGCAGCCCTAGAGAGGGTTTCCAAGGCCAGAACGTCATGGCCTCATCGTTCTCCCATGGGGCTGCTGGTGGAATCGAACTGCTGCCCTTGAGATAAGCAGTCCAGCACTGAGCCAACAGCACCACCAGGGTTCCTTTAAGCATTACAGAAAGCAAATCAGTGGTTGGCAGGGGCTGGAGAGAGAGGGCATGGGAGTGGCTGCTCATGGACTTGGGTTCTCTTTTTGGAGTGAGAAAATGCACAACTTGGGAATATATGAAAAGATATTGAATTGTACACTTTAAAATGGTAAGTAGTCCCCCCCACTATCATGACCTCAATTCTACCTTACAAATCAGATTAGACCAGAACATGCACCCTGCTACAGATAAGAGCCCCAACACAAGGAATGCAGGACAGATGAACCCCTCAGGGCTAACAAGAAGAACAGAGATACCAGGAGGATTAGGGGAAAGTGGGCGGAGAAAATGGGAATTGATCACAAGGATCAATTATAACCCCCGCCCGGGGGATGAACAATGGAAAAGTGGGTGAAGGGTGACAGAGGATGATATAAGATATGAAAATAATAATGTGTAACTTATCAAGGGTTCGTGAGGGAGGGTGGGAAAAATGAGGCGCTGATATCAAGGGCTCAAGTAAAAAGAAAATGCTTTGAAAATGATGATGGAAAAAAGAAAGAAAATGATGATGATGATGGCAGCATACATGCAAATGTGCTTGACACAATGGATGAATGTATGGATTGTGATAAGAGATGAAAGAGCCCCCAATAAAAGTATTTAATTTTTTAAAAATGGTAAAAAGTGTGGTATGTGCATGACCTCCCAATTAAAAATTATATATAGATAGATAGATTAAATCTTCAGAGCACTGGTGGCATAGTGGGTTATATATTTGGCTGCTAATTGAAAGCAGTTCAAATCTACCAGCTGCTCCAAAGAAGAATGATGAGGCTTTCTGCTCCTATAAAGACTTACAGCCTCAGAAACCCTAGGAAGTGATTCTAGTCTGCCCTGCAAGGTCACTGTGAGTTGGAATTGACTTGGCTGCAGTGGTTTGCTTGTTTATTATCATATCTTTTTTGGACGGTGCTGTTAAGATATTGTCCATAACACAGGCACCTAGACGTGCCATGCATGACAAAGCCTTTGGATAGTGACCCCACAGCAGAGTCTGGTCCTCTGTTCTCTGCTAGGCTAAGCTTTGCCCGGGCCACTGAGGTGATATGGTTCTACCCATCGCAGCTCCATGGGAATGACAGAAACAACGCTGACCTTATTCCCTAGGTCTGGGACACCCTGGCGCTGGCAGACAAGCCCTTTTCCCTGGTGCTGGAGGAAGACGGCACAATCGTAGAGACCGAAGAGTACTTCCAGACCCTCTCAGAGGGCACGGTGTTCATGGTGCTCCACAAGGGGCAGAAATGGCAATTCCCATCGGAGCAGGTGGGGTGCGGGAGTCTACCTGTGGGGGAGCAATTGACCACCTGGGAGGAACCCTTGCAGGGAGACAACCGCATGCTTGTCTGACGCAGGGGGCTAGGTACCAGCTCTCCCTCTCGAATATGCCTGCGAAGAAGATAGACGTGGCCTGCGTGACCTTTGACTTGTACAAGACCAACCCGCAGGACTTCATTGGCTGCCTGAACACAAAAGTGACTCTCTATGGCACCTACTCCCTTTCCTACGATCTTCACTGCTACGGAGCCTCACGCGTCATGAAGTGAGTGGACTGGGCTGAGCTGAAGATGGGATGGGTGGGTGGCAGAGGAAGAGCCCCTGTCTGCTCACAAGCACAGCTGCTGTCTAAGGGATGGTAACAGTGTTTGTCTAAACCTTTAATGACTTCACTAAGTGCTTTGTATTATAATACTTTGTCCTAGAGGGGACTAGGTTCCACTTCTGGTGGAACCTGGTGAGATTTTGTTTTTGCAACTTTTAAAATTGAATGTGATGGCTTAAGCCTATTCAAATCCAGAACAGATTGTGAATTCTGACCCATAGGGACCCTCTAAGACAGGATACAACTGCCCCTGTGGGTTTCCGAGACTGTAATTCTTCAGAAGAGTAGAAAGCCTCCTCTTTCTCCCGAGGAGTGGCTCGTGGTTTCAAACTGCTGACCTTGCAGTTCGCAGCCCCCCGAATAACCACTATACCACTAGAATGCCCTTCTTCTTTTTTTTTTTTTAATGTTATTTTATTAGGGCCTCTTACAGCTCTTATCACATCCATACATATATCCATTGTGTCAAGCACATCTGTACATATGTTGTCATCATCCTTTTCAAAACATTTTCTTTCTACTTGAGCCCTTGGTATCAGCTCCTTATTTTTTTCCCTCCCTCTCCCACCTTGCCTCCCACATGAACCCCCAATAATTTATAAATTATTCTTTTTTTTTCATGTCTTACACTGACTGCTGTCTCGCTTCACCCACTTTTCTGTTGTCCATTCCCCTGGGAGGGGGGACCCATATATCCATTATTGTGATCCGTTTCCCCTTACCCCCATTCCCCCTTCCCTTTCCCCTCCTAATATCACTACTCTCCTTATTGGTCCTGAGGGGTTTATCTAACGTGGATTCCGTGTGTTTTCATCTCTTATCTGTACCACTATACATGTTCTGGTCTAGCCAAATTTGTAAGATAGAAATGGGGTCATAATACTGGCGGGAGGAAGCATTAAAGAACTAGAGGAAGGTTGTGTGTTTCATCGGTGCTATACTGCACCTTGACTGGTTCGTCTCTTCCATGTGGCCCTTTTGACAGGGGGTATCCAATTGACTACTGATGGGCTCTGGGTCTCCACTCTGCCCATCTCCTCATTCACATCGATATGATTTTGTTTTGTTTTGGGTCTTTGATGCCTGAGACCCGATCCCATTGACCCCTCATGATCACACAGGCTGGTGTGCTTCTCCCATGTGGGCTTTGTTTCTTCTCAGGGTGCCTTTCCTAAGCCTACGCTCCCTGTTACATGTTGTTTAGAGAAATGCACTGATTAATAAGGAGAATGACAGCTAACTAAACCTAGACTTTAGACTTACCATCTCCTATACTTTTTTTTTATGGTAGTGGAATGTGTGTAATTTTACTTATTGATTGATAGAATTAGTTTTTATCAACGCCTGCTGTGACAGCGACATTTCCCATGTGGCACGTGGTTAAGCGCTTGAGCATGAACAGAAGGTTAGCGTCTGAGCCCACCCACAGGCTCCTCGAGGAGGAGCATGACCACCTGCTTTCTAGAGGTCACAGTCGGTAACACCTGGGTCTCCAGGAGTCAGAATTTGCTCCACAGCAGCTGGTGATGGGGCGGGGGTCATCGTCCCCATAGCAACGTGTTTCTCTTTACCCTCAAATAGTAAAATTTCCCTAACTGATCATCTAATCAAGTTCTTTTTTCAATGGGCACATATCAAAATGTAACGAATTGATAAAAGAACCAGTAAGAACGTTCAGCCTGTTCAGAGGGAAATTCCAATTCCTACGTGCCCATAGTTACATCAAGAATGCTAAAATTTATGAGTGTCTAAAACTCGATGTTTCCAAGGGAGCAGGAGGGATGGGAATCAATTACCCCTCTATAGCGTAGAATTTATTTGCATGTCTTCAAACAAGAATCATTTGTATTCTGTAATCAACTCCCCCCCACCACTTTTTTATTCAAAAAAGTCGCTTCAACTTTTAAATATCACAGGAAGCACAGCAGTATGTTAAATCATAAACCAATTCTATTATGTTGGTGCTTCCCAAACCTCCCTGCTACAGTGAGCTTTGAGAACAGTTTTATCCCATTAGGGGACTGCAGCCATGTAGGCCGAGGAGCGTGAATTATTCCCAGGCCACAGAGCTCCAGAGAGGCGGGGCGGGCCTCTAGCCAACTCTGGCAGGCATTGCTAAGTTCCAGCGACTTGGAAAGGCCTGCGTGTCATGAAGGGCAGAGAGACGTGTCTTGTGAGCTGATCTGCCTGCTCCTAGGGAATCTTCAAAAAGAAAGAAGGAAAGGAAGGAAAGCCTTGTTAAATGGAGTTGAGTTTTGCAGGAGAAAGCGAGGAGGTTCCCAACATCTGCATTATCTCAGGATTGCACACAATGCCTACAGACCTTTGCCTTTTGCTCAGGCCCGGCGCCTTCTGATCTGCACTTTACATACCACATTTCCTTGCTGAGGCAAATGGCCAACATAAAACCATTTTCTCCAGGCCAGGCTAAGGATGAAAAACCAAACCAAACTCCCTGCCTTTCGATCGATTCTGACTCACAGCAACCCTAGAAGACAGAGTAGAACTGCTCCTTTGGGGGTTTCCGAGACTGGGAATCTGTAGGGAGCAGGCAGCCTCCTCTTTCTGCTGAGGAGTGTAACCCACTATTCCCATCAGGGTTCCGGGAGGATGAGGGTGGAGGCATTGAAGGGGATGTGGGCCGGGTAGTCTTCATCATGTAACCTGGTGCCTCTCTTTCCACCCCACCCCCCAGGGAAGCTCTTCGCTGGGCACTCTTCGGCATGCAGGCCACGGGCCACATGCTGCTTGGCACCTCCTGTTACATGCAGCAACTCCTGGATGCCACAGAGGAAGGGCAGAACCCCAAAGGCAAAGCCTTGTCCCTCATCCCAACCTGTTTGAAGATACTGCAGTAAAGGCGCCAGTCTTTCGAGGCCTCCCCACCAAGAATTAAACTGGGAGCCCTCTGCTTAGCCTCAGAGTTCACAAGCCAGCCGCTAGCTGTAGAGCTTCTTAGCTCCCCACACCTCCCTCGGCCCACAGGACCAGGAATGAGAAAGCTGGAGAAAGGACTAGAAAGGAGTTGCTGGGCTGACCAAAGGAGAATTGTGGGTTCTTGTCTCAGCCCGGCTTCTTCCTGCCCAGAGTGGTTTAACAGACCAAGAGCAGGCTTCCTGAATGCGAGGGCGAGCATGAGGGGTGCATGAGGATGGCCCCTGCGCAACCTGCGTTCACATCTTACACTTACCGCCTGCCTCCCGCCTCCCCTGCCTCCAGCTCTCCGGGGGGACAGGCCAAGTGCACCAGTGTATGAGCCTGGAGAGGATGCAATAAATAATTCATGCTGATACATGTTCTTGACTCAGGTTCTTTACCGTAATGGGGTGGACCTCCTCGGGAAGGTTGGGAAGGCCCGAGGAAAGCGAGGAATCTGGTCTCACACTCGGCACCTCTGCTGGACCGGCCAGATCAACCACACCACTAGATGAGTCATTAAAGCCTTCATGAACCAGCTGGACTGAGAGTAGGCTAGCACCTGGAAGCCTCTTGATCCAGAAGAGAGAAATTCCATGCTTCTTACATTCTAGTCGTGATATTTTTATCAGGTTGGCAGGGTGACAGGGTTGCGGGGAACAGCACAGTTGCAGGTGCTAATTCAAGGTTTTACAAGAGAGTGTACATTTCTTGCTAACAGGGCAGGCAGGGTTTGGGGATGCCTGGAAGAGTCAGGGTCTTGTTGGGAGAGGCAGGAGAGGGAGGAGGAGAAGGGGGCTAACTGCTAGCAGGGGTTAAAGGCAGCTGAAAGCTAAATGGAGTTCCTCGTGCTAAGCTCAGTGACTACAACTTACCATGGAATGAAAAACAACACGATGTTGGGCTGGCTCAGACTCATGGGAACGCCCTGGGTGTCAAGAGTACAATGGTTGGCTTCTCAATGCCTGGGGTTTTGTTTTGTTTTCTTCTAAGGCACCCTTGGGTAGAGTCAAAATGCCACCCTTTTGGTTAGTAGGCAAGTATGTTAACTGTTGACACCATTCAGGGTCTCCAAGATGGATGAAAAGACACAGCACTTCCTAAAAAAATTAATAAATTGCTTTTGACTTTGAAAATAAAGCCCCTTTAAGGTGAGATTTGAGCCAATCATGTACTCAATAGATTAAGCGACCATTTCCAAGTTCCATCATGTCTCAGAAGGACTTACTTTCAAAAAGTAGGATGAAGGCGCCTTTCTAATTCCTTAAATGGGAGGCACTAATCCAGCTGTAGCACAGTCTCTGTCAACCCCTTCCTCAGCTTGCCAAGCAGTTCTTCGGCATTTAGAACTTTCAATCTCAGGATTTCGAAACAAGCTGTCAGAGAGCTGAGAAGAGTGACAGTTTCTCGTCCGTGTGAGATGGCATTTCTCCAGATCGAAAACGGGACTTATAGGTGACTACTTGAATCCGTGACTCTCGGATTCAAAAATGGCTGCTTTGTGACTGTTCCACTAAAGCCAAAGAGCCTTGGGGATGCAGTGGTTAAGTGCTGCCACCATTGCTTTCTCAGCCTCTCCACAGCTGTAAGCCGGGAGCCCAGTCCTCTGTCCACTAGGTGAACGTCTTTCTTCAGGCAGGGCTTGAGTCTGCGCAACTGTGTGTCCAGGGTGGCATGGAAGTTGCTGTTCACCGCTCTAGGAGGAACAATGGTGGTGCAGTGGTTAGGCATGTTAAGCTGCAATTGGCATGGTTGGCAGTTCGAAACCACCAGCAGCTATGCAGGAGAAAGACTGGACTTCCTACTCCCGCCAACAGTTACAGTCTGGGAAACCCATAGGGGGTCCCTAGGCAGTAAGGTCTGGTTTGGGTTTTTTTGGAGGTGCCCTAGAGTGGATTTTAATGCCCAGGAACCTGTGAGAGCAGAACTGGCGTATCTGACGTTCTTGAAAGAGCGCCAGGGCTTGTTCCTGCGGAGCTGCTGGGAGGGCTCACCACCAGCTGAATGAGTGATATAATGAATACATGTATTATTACGTATTTATAATTCATTTGTTATTATTCATTGGTAACTTGTCTTTGGATTTTGAATGCTTTGGCGTTGCTCTTTTGCTTTGGCCTTTGGCTCCTATTAGATTTTGCAACAGGCTTGTGTTCCCGAGGCTGGTTTACTGGACCACAGGGAGTGGATTTTTTTGGCTACGTCGTCTTACGAAACTATGCACAATGGTGTTTTTCTGAGGTCAGACGTCTCAAGATTGGAGTAATGGTGACCAGAATGGATCTTTCGTCCAAGTTTTGGCCCCGCCTCCGTTCGTGTCTCAGTTTCCCCAGAAGCACCGAAGTGCCAATGCATACATTTCCTTTCCGGGCGGACGCAAAGCTCCGCCTCCCCGCCCCACCCATTGCTTAGCACCGCCTTCCCGACGGACGTCCAAGCTGGCCAATCAGCATGCAGCTGGGGTGTGGGCGGGCCTTCGGGGCGCACATGCGCGCTGTCTTTTGCACCAGCGATGGTCGGCGGCGGTATCTGGGTTCGCGTCTCGGCTGGCTGGCGGCCGGGCCCCGGGGTCTGCGCAGTCCCCCAGGCCGCAGGCCTTGGCACCGAGGCCCGGTGATTACGCTCTCCCCGGTGAGGGAGGGGCAGGGGGCGGGTGTGACCAGCATCTGGAGTTCGATCGCCGTGGATGAGCTTTCCTGCCCGCTCGGTTAGGTGCCCCGGGCTCAGCCGGTCACCCGCCTCTCCGAGCCTCCGCCACGCGGCCAGCGGAACCCGACTCGGGTCAGGCAGCTGGAGGCGGCGGCAGGACTTGGCGGGAGCTGTGTGACAATAAAGGAGCCTTGCAGCCATAGTGGTGTAGCCATTGGGCTGCTCATCTCCTGGTCCCCTCGAGGTCGCCAGTTCAAATCCACCGGCCGCTCCAGGAAGAAAGATGAGGCGCTTTGCTTCAGGACAACGATACAGCTCAGAAACCCCATATAGGCTTGCCAAGGAATCAAAATCGATTTGGGTGTGGAGATAAGAATGTGGCGCCAAGAAACATCCCCTGCTTCTCCTTTCCAGGAATCGGCCGAAACCTCGACACTCCGATGGCCGGTCGGGATGCCCACGGGACCCGCCGTTTCCGGGGCTGCTGCAGCTGGAGGGTCTCAGTGCCACGGAGTTGGTTGATGTGCTGAGGGCAGGTGTGGTGGATCAGAAAGGTGAGGTCTGAGGGCTGCTGTACTAGAGACCCAGGAGGGCAGCCTGCTGCTCTGAGCCTTCTAGGAGACTGGCTGGATTCCCCACTAAAGCCCCTGGGGTCTGAAATGAGAGAAGCCGGGCATTCAGATCACGATTGTACACCCCACCCCCCACGAGCAGGGTGTGCAAGCAACATAACCTCTCTGAACCTCAATATCTTAGGATGTGTGTGTGTGTATGGCGGGGTGGGATGGGGGCATAAATCATGAGAGAGCCTCACACATAGTAGGACTCCACTGTGGGAATTTCAATAGTAAAAAATTACTCTATATGTCGATGAACAAAACACTGACTTGGTGGCATATCTAGGCCCTGTACCAGCTGGTCCCGAGGCTTCAGGAAAATCATGTGATCACTCTGAACTTCAGTTCCTCCATTCAGAGATATATTCATTGTCTTAACTATTTATTGTTTATTGAGCACCTGCATGACCTTGCTTTAGGCTCTATATTGCCAAACAAGATAATTTCGGTTTCTGCTTTCATGAAGTTAACATTCCAGTAGGAGAATTAGATTAACCAGGGAATAAATGAACAAGTCACTCAATAGCGTTAATAGCTAGGAATACCCCCAAACTTGGTATCGTGATGGTGAGGGGCTCGGGAGAGTGGGGTAGACAAGCCTCTCTGTGGTGGTGACCTACGTAGGAGCCAGAAGTGAAAATGAGGAAATGGCAAGTACCAACCCTCGAGGTGGCCCCAAACTCAATGATAAAATGGAAAGACAAGAAAACAACAACAACCCCACCCATTCCATTTAGGATGCGATTTGCTCTCTCCTGACTGAGCGCTGTCACTGAGCCGCATGCTGACCTCAGTCATAAAGTGCCTTGTGAGCTTTGTGATGCCCAGAGATTGGCTGGTACTTTTGCTGCTGCTGATGCTCCTGCGATATCATGTGTTTCAGGACCTCTCGTGGTGGTCAACAAGCCCCCAGGCCTGCCAGTGACAGGTAGGAACAGAGGGCCAGAGAAGGGACTGTGCTGCAAGGGACTCTGATGTCCAGGGAGGGGGGTGGGGTGGAGGGGGAGTGGAGGGGGCTGGGGCTGCAAGGAACCTGTGCTTCTTTCCCAGGGAAACCAGGCGTCCTGACACTGCTCTCAGTGCTGCCAGAGTTAAGCCAGGCCCTGGGGCTCAGGGAGGGAGCACTCCAAGTTGTTCGAGCCCCTGAGAAGTAAGTACCGAGGTTGATAAGGAGTTCCAACACCAAACCCATGGTCACTAAGTCAGTTCTGACTCTAACCACCCCACATAGGGTTTCTGAGGCTGTGAGCTTTTGTGGGAGCAGACAGCCTCGTCTTTGTCCCTGGAGCATGCGGTGGATTTGAACTGCCAACCTTGCCATTAGTCATCCAAAACTTACCCAACAGCACTGGGAGGACAGGAAAATAAACCACTCTAAAACCAAAAGAGAAGGTAGGAGGACAAGGAGCCACCTGGGAGGGAGAGACTAATGCTTGAGCATAAGCAAAGCCAGTCCGTTTCCACAGAAGAGTTTGGGATCTTGGAGGTGAGATATGAGGATGCTGAGAAGGAGAAGAAAGCAAACAGATCTGGGTTCAAATCCCAATGGCCCCAGGTGTAAACTGTGTGGTCCCAGGCGAAGAACATAACCTCTCTGAGTTAGGTTAAGAAAGACAATAATACCTGCCTCCCACTCAGTGTGCGGGCACTTTCCAGATTCCATACCTTTGGCAAACATTGCTAGTCAGGCCTGGTACCCTTCCCTCTGGCTGCCATCAACTAGAGTTCCCACTTGCGATGAGCTCTTTCTGCTGGCACACAAGCTCATGGGCACTCGTAATGAATCCAATGCTGTGCACTAACAGAGAGGCCCAGCCATCTCAGTCCTAGGTAGGTTCTCAGAAATAAAGGCGGGGGCACAAACAGAAACCTGTCTACCAGCGTTCATTGCTGCACCGCTCGCAGTAGCCAGATGGTGGGAACCACCAGAGTGGCCATCCACAGGTGACTGGAGAAACAAAATGTGATCCATTCCCCCAGTGGAATGTGATGTGGGAGCCAGCCCACAACCGGATGGGTCCTAAGGGACGGTTGCGTAATTGAAGGGAAGAAATAAAAGACAGACATGAGGTTTAGGTGCTCACTTCCTCCATGATATCAGGCACCAGGTCCTAATGGAGAGAGAACTATGCCACCAAGTGACATAGTCTTGGCATGCAAGCCCTCCCCAACCACAGGCACCTACCTACATAACAAGGTGGGCAGTATCTTCACCCTAGAGGTCCCTGAGCTCATTGGGGCCTCTAGGGTGAGGATACTGGCCACATTGCTAGTAACCTAACACCAGTGCTGAGGGCAGGGAGAGGGGAGTGATGGTCCCCTGAGCAGAGAGAACTATAACAACTGTCTGCTCTTATTGATCGAGTTGTCAGCTGGGTAGCGATCACAATGTGCTTAGAAGAGGTCTCATTAAGGTAGTACTATGACGGGAAGATTCTGTGGGGATGATTTGTAATTAGGACGACCTGACTGGGGTTCACCTCCAACTCACAAAGGAGGGAGGTGAAGGCCTCTGTCCACCCAGAATCCCGGCCTTCCAAGCTTCTTCTCTCATGAGTACAAGGAATGCGTCTGCATACACGCACTCCCTGATCCTTAGTTCCCCACCACATGCGGCAGTTGTAAAGAGAGACGCGGTTCCGATGCAATCACAGTGGATGCACCTTGAAACCACTATGGGGAGCACAAGAAGTCCGCTGCAAAAGGTCAAGGACTACAAGATCCCACTTAGAGGAAATAAGCAAATACCGAGAAACCCAGGGTGGCTGGGCATGGTTGCCGAGGGCAGGAAGGTGGAGGGAAGAGTTTGTCTTCATGGTGGCAGAATGTATTGCAAGAGGGTAGCAATCACGAAGGCCCAGCATCAATGTGATTGAACTGTAAAGGTGAAAGCTGTGTTGGTACATGTTTTGGTGTGTATATTTTCAACACACACACAGATAACATTTAACAATCGGTGCTCAGCTATTGGGTGCCATCCGTCTCCCCCATGGGAGAGTAGAACGGCCGCGCAGGGTCTCCTGGGCTGTTATCTTTTTGGATGCAGATCGATGGGCCTTTCTCCCAAAGAGATTCCAGGACCTAGAATCTAGGTGGATTTGAACTGCCAACCTCTGAGTTAGCAGTCAAATCCTTAATCACTGCTCCACCAGGGCTCCTTAGACACTCAACACATGGTGCCAATTTGTAAGACATTTGGCTCCGAGCTCCTTGGGAGCGAGGGCAAACTGAGACAAGCATCAAAGTCAAGGAATCGTGTCACACAAGGGGAAGCTGTAACCTGTGTCTCAGGAGGACGGCTGGGTGATTGTTGTCCTGGAGTTGTTGTTGGGCTTCCTAAGGGTTCCATTGCTCCTGCCTAGAGGCCTCCTTTTTTATGGGTGACCCTCTAACTTGTGATTGACCCCTTTCCTCCAGGGACTGCTCTGGGCTTGTGCTTCTCTCCAGTTGTCCCCAGACTGCAAGCAACCTCCACAAATTCTTCGCTCGCTCACGGAGAGTCCAAAGACCCACAGCTCTCTACTGGTGAGCCACCTCCGGAGGCTCCCAGGGCCGCAGGGAGGTTCTAGCAAGCCATCCCGTGACCTCACGGCCCCTTTCCCCCTGCAGGGCCGTCACAGACGGGATCCCAGCCACTTCTGAGGGGAAGATCCAAGCAGCCCTGAGACGGGAACACACGGATGGGGTTGATCTTGTGAGTCAAGTGGAGGAGAGAGGGGGTCCTGGCACACAGGGTCCCTGACAGAGGACTCAAGGGTGTAAACTTGGGGTGGCTGGCTCTCTCGTCCCCTGAAACAGAAAGTGACCCCTGCCCACACTGCTGCCCTGTCCCAAGTCTGTTCCTTGAAACTGGGTGTAGCTCCCAGGCATATATTAAAGCTTGTTGGGTGGGGGTGGGGGTGGGGGGGCTGCACTGCAGGTCATTCCGGTGAAGACCCCGTCTCGTAAGGACATCCTGGAAGGTGTCAAGAGGACTGTCAGCCACTTCCGTGTGGTGGCCACAGGCTCCGGCTGTGCCCTGGTCCAGCTGCAGCCGCTGACAGGTGGGTCTAGAGAGGCCAGGAGGTGAGAGGAAGGTGGGAGTCGGATTTCGCCGCAGCTTGGAGTGCTGGATGGACTCGCAGGAGGCATGTGGTCAGGGCCAGCTGCAGGAAGCAGTGCTGGCCATCAGCCTGGCATCGTTCACCTGCCTTGTTTTCCCCTGCTGACTGCCCTCAGGATCTCAAGGCTGTGACCCTTCTCGCGCTCCTTTTCCTCAAATGGCACTTATTTTAACTTTTCCTTTTTCAATTTGGGAACTTTGATACGTGTTGCATAGACCAGCCCCTCAGAACTATGACAGCATCCCAGGAATCCCCCTAGGTAGGTGGCTCTTTCTTCTTTTTTTTCCCTCCCCAACCTCTCTCTTCCCCCTCGCAGCTGCCCCCAGTCTCGTCATCGTCTTCAAAGTCTTTTCCTTGGGTATGAAGACCACTTTTTCTTGTTTCTCCCCTGTGGGAGCAGCCTTGGTGGCGTCATGTTTAGGAGCTGGGCTGCACAGTTAGCAGTTAGCCCGGTTGATGGCAGTGCGTTGGGTTTGGCCTTTATTTTACTTTTGAATAATGTGATGGGATATATATGTATATTTAGTCATTTTATTAGGGGCTCATACAACACTTATCACAATCCGTACATACATCAATTGTGCAAAGCACACTTGTACATCCATTGCCCGCATCATTCTCAAAACATTTGCTCTCCACTTAAGCCCCTGGCATCAGCTCCTCATTTTGCATTTTTCCCCCTCCTTCCCCACTGCCCCCTCCCTCATGAACCCTTGATAATTTATAAATTATTATTTTGTCATATCTTGCCCTGTCCGATGTCTCCCTTCACCCACTTTTCTGTTGTCCGTCCCCCAGGGAGGAGGTTATATGTAGATCCTTATCATTGGTTCTCCCTTTCTACCCCACCTTCCCTCTACCCTCCAGGTATCGCCATTCTCATCACTGGTCCTAAAGGGATCATCCGCCCTGGATTCCCTGTTTCCAGTTCCTGTCTGTACCAGTGTACATCCTCTGGTCTAGCCAGACTCACAAGGCAGAATTGAGATCATGATGGTGGGGGGCGGGGGAGGAGGCATTTGGGAACTAGAGGAAAGTTATATGTTTCATCGTTGCTACACTGCACCCTGACTGTCTTGTCTCCTCCCCGCTACCCTTCTGTAAGGGGATGTCTAATTGCCTACAGATGAGCTTTGGGTCTCCACTCCATGCTCCCCCTCATTCACATTGATAGGATTTTTTGTTCTGATGATGCCTGATCCCTGATCCCTTTGACACCTTATGATCACACAGGCTGGTGTGCTTCATCCATGTGGGCTTTGTTGCTTCTCAGCTAGATGCCCACTTATTTATCTTCAAGCCTTTAAGACCCCAGATGCTATGTCTTTTGATAGCCAGCCACCATCAGCTTTCTTCGCCACATTTGCTTATGCATCCATTTTGTCTTCAGCAATCGTGTTGGGAAAGTGAGCATCACAGAATCCCAGGTTATTAGAACAAGGTGGGTTTTTTGTTTTTTTAACCCTTTTTTTTAAAAGATCATTTTATTGGGGGCTCTTACAACTCTTGTTACAATCCATACATCTATTACATCCGACATATTAGTACATCTATTCCATCGTTCTTTTCTAGACATTTACTTCCCATTGAGCCCTTGGGATCAGCTCCTCTTATTTTTCTTCCTCTCCACCCCCAACAAAGTGTTCTTGGGTTGAGGGAGGACTTGAGTAAAGCCTCAATGTCCTTCTGCTGCCTTAATACTTAACATATAAATATATGTACATAGATCTATTTCCCTATCTTTATATCTAAATATATTTACTTATGTACATGCCTGTATTTAGAGACTATAAATGTCCTTTGTCTCCTAGTTCTTTCCTCTATTTCCTGTTACTTTTCTCGTCCCACTATCATGTTCGGCCTTCATTCGATATGTCATTTTCTTAATGTCTTGTTGAATTCCTTTAGGTAGAACTTTGTTAACATTTTGGTGTCTCTATTCATAAGGGATATTGGTCCACAGTTTTCAATTCTGGTGATGGCTATTATGGTCATGTCTTCGTGTCCAGTTGAGGTTTACATCACTCAGTAATGGCCTTCTTTGCCTCACACAATGGCTTTTACGTTGACATTTTGTCAGCAGTAATGTTCCTCCTCCGTTTTCTGACTACCATTAGCTTGATAATGTATTTTTCCATCCTTTGATTTTTAGCCTGTTTTTGTCTTTATATCTGAGCTGTGTTTCTTGTAAGCAGCATTCCATGAGCACTAATGGCTCATGTTTCTTAGCCATTCTGCTAGTCTCTGTCTCTTAACTGGAGAATTTATTTACATTCAACGTTATCGATAGGTATTTTATTGATGTCATTTTGTCATATTTTTTTATGGTGGTTTCTTTGTTCATCACAATTTCTCTTTTATTTTTTGCTATTGTGAATGATAATTGTGATGGGCATGTGAACACCCATCCATTCATGTTGCAGCTGTTTCCTCTAGGATGCATGCCCAGTAGAAAGATGGGTGAACCGTCCGATATGTTTCAGCTTTTTAAAGTGCCATAGTGATTTCCACAGTGCCTGCATTAATATCTTAGAAATCCACACATTTTATATTCTTTCTGATCATTTCATTGTCTAAAGTTCTACAGGGTCGTCTTACCGTGTTTCCTGTCGATTCTCACACTGAATGGGCTTATTTTTCATTGTTCTGTGAATCCAGGCAGAGTTCATGCTTAGGCGGGCCTCTCTCTATTGGAATCTTACCTGGATTGGAGGTGGGACCTTTTTAAGAGGTTCTGCCTTGGCTCACCCTGGAAGCCTCAGGGATATCACGACTCCAGGCTGTCCTACTTGGTAGTTCAAAGATCAATCTGGGTAGTATACGCCTTAGCCCCAAACCTGTGAGTGTAGGCTTGTGATTGTGAATTCTCAGGGGAAAACTTCCTACTCCTGTCCATGATTAAGGTGAGAGGTCATCTGCCTTCCTTGTGGCTTGCTGCCTCTCTTCATCCACCCTTTCACTGAAGATGTACTGCTACCTCTATGGTTTCATTTGCACACCAAAGCCTTGCCTCTGGCCCCAGGTAGCTACTGAAACCCACTCTGTGGACAGGTGACGTTCTGGCTGGCTTTTGTGTTCTGGATTCATTTTCCTATTACATTTTAGTCTCGGGAGCCTTACTTCTCTGTGTGCTCAGCTGTTTACTTTTAAAAGATGGTGAAAAATGTCAATATAAAAGAAAATGATGCTTTTATTTTCTTCAGTGTTTATAGCAAAGAGGGTTTTTAGATTATCCAGTCTACCATAGGAGGGGTCTTCAAAAGTTCATGGAAAATATATATTATGAAAAAATTATACAGGGATTTCCTCTTTTCTTGCATGAAAATAGAAAATAAACTCATAGCAACTTCTTATAACTTATCTGAATAGGATCTAGTTTCAGGAGCTAAGAAGGATAAGACATCAATTTAAAGAGTCCCTATCAGAACATTAAAGTCCCCTAAAACTGAAACAAGAATAAACATCACATACATGGTGAAGCCTGGTGGGAGAACAGTTGTTAAATCACTGATGCTTTATGAAATATTTATGGGAACAATGCCCCCAAAGAAATCAGTTTACGAATGGACCATTCGTTGTAAGATGGGACAAGACCATGTTGAAGACAAAGCCCATAGCAGTAGACCATCCACATCAATTTACCAGGAAGCAATCTTGTTGTTTTAATGCGTTAATTGAAGAGGACGGAGAACTGACAGCAGAAACAATAACCAACACCACAGACATCTCAACTGTGGTTTAGCTTCTAAAATTCTGACTAAAAAATTAAAGTTGAGTAAGCTTTCGGCTTTAAGGGGTACCAAAATGATCACATGCCGCCATTCCGGTGGGGACAAGAGCAGAGGTCTCTACGGACGTTGAACAAGGGAGATCAAGAATTGTGATGAAGTGACATGTGGCTTCCCCAGGATGACCTTGAAGACAAAGCACAGTCAAAGCCATGGCTACCAAGAGATAGAAATGGTCCCGTCAAAGCAGAAGCTGGTCTGCTTCAAACTGTGGACCTTGTAGTTCGTAGTCCAACACGTCACCACACCACTAGTGCTTCCCGCCTCAGTTCTTTAGGAAGGGAGTAAAGAACTGGTATCCAAAGTACCTTGACCTTGGAGTTTATGTTGAGAAATATGTGTGTTTAATCTTTTTTCCCCCTTTACTTTTATTAGAGGTTCTTATATCTCACCACAATCCACACATTCATCCAGTGTGTCAAGCACATATGCCGCCATCATTTTCAAAGCATTCTCTTCCCACTTGAGCCCCTGATATCAGCTCCCCATTTCTTTAGTCTTTTCATTCCATTTTCTACCAACTTTTGAAAATCCCTCCCAGATTGGATTTGGATCGCAGCTCATGGTGGAGGGCAAGTTATATAAGTTAACATATTACAAAGCATTTAGCACCAGATGTACCACCACCACCCATGGCTTTCAGAGAGGAAAGGGCCCGGCATGGCTGGACCTGAAGCTCCGAGGGAGTGAGATCATCGGGAAGTGGTTGTCTGGTGGTTAGTCCTGACTTTCCCACTGTTGACATCACTCACTGCCCCCCGGGCACTCCTGGGAAGGCAAAGCTCCACCAGCTTAGCAGGAAAGAGTTCGTTATTCCCAGTGACTTCCGTCGTCATTTCAGGATCGTGTCTCACCATGGATTGGCTGCTACGCCTGTTGTCACCTGGCCACAGCCTCCTCTCTGGACACAGGGGTGGTTGTGGTAGCATTGACCTCATCTGAACCACAAAATCTGAGAATGGGGGTGTGGCTCCCTAAAGGAAAGGGTGGGCGGAGGGGCAGGTATGGCTGGGATAGACCACCACCACCCACCATTGCTCTTGTCTCTTCTCTGGCCCAGTGTTTCCCAGTCAGCTCCAGGTGCACATGACCCTGCAGCTCTGCCCAGTGCTTGGGGACCACAAGTACTCTGCCCGAGTGAGCACCGTCCTGGGCCAGCGCTTTCTACTGCCAGCTGAGAGCACCAAGTCCCCCAAACAGGTACCCAAGCCCACCTGTGTGCTGCCTTCTCCTGGGGTGGGGGCCGTGGCTAGCAGCCTGGGACTGGGCAGCAGCCCTGCTGCATCCAAGGCTGTCTGTAGACATGTCCCGCTCTGTGGTTCTGGACGGGACACTCCTTCCACTGGGCCGCATTCTGCCTGACAGTTCAATAAGGGAATTGCACAGGCTCAGTTCCAAAGTCCTGCTGTTCTTTGCATCTGTGGGTGGGGGGGGGGGCCTGCCTGGACAGGGTAATGCTAAAGTCCCAGAGTCTTAGCACATAACTGGCCCCTCGTGTTCTGCCGAATGAGTGGAGTGGGAGTTGGGGGGATTTGCCAAAAGCACTTACTCTGCGGTGAACAGACCCAGGTTGTTTACATCAGGCAGCAGGTGAGGTGAGACAGGACAGGTTCGTGTGGAAGGCTTTTTTTTAAACATTCTCTATTGTAATCCATTGGCCAGAACTCAGTCACCCAGACCACCCTAGGCTGAGTAATGCCGTTTGGCCAGTCTCTACTGTAGTGTGAGTGCGCGCACACAGCCCCATGTTCCAGGGAGGGAGGCTGTGCCTCACCTGCTTCACTCAGCGTGTTGGTTTGGCCAGTCTCTACTGTAGTGTGAGTGTGCGCACACAGCCCCATGTTCCAGGGAGGGAGGCTGTGCCTCACCTGCTTCACTCAGCGTGTTGGTGCCCACACAGCTGTGTGCTGACATGCCTCTCCCACCCCCAGGTCCTGGATGAAGCCTTCCTTAGACACCTGCGCCTGACCCCCGCCCAGGCCACCCAGTTGCCCTTGCACCTCCACCTGCACCGACTCCTCCTCCCGGGCCCCAGGCCCCAGGATGCCCCCACGGAGCTGCTGGCACCTTTGCCCCCTTATTTCTCCAAGACACTTCATTGCCTGGGGCTCCAGCACCAAGCGTCACCGCCTGTTCCTGGTGCCCAGATGCCTGCTGGAGGGCAGCAGTAGTGAGAGGAGAGCGAGGGGCTCTCGGCCAGGCCCAAGGAACACGAGGCCGGCACTTGGCCTGCAGGCTGACTCACCCAGTTGGAGCTAGGGACCTCACCTCTTTGAACATGAAACAATAAAAGCACCTACTTCGTGGTACTGCTGGCGAGACTCACCGAGAAAGGAAATGATCGTGGCCCATGCTTTCTGCTGAGTTGAATATGCGTGCTTTTTTATTTGGCTGTTTCCGACCCCATCCAGACGGGGAGCAGAAGGGTTAGATTTTTTTTTAACCTCCCCACTTAGGAAGACTGAAATACATTAAACTTGCATGAGAGCACACAAAACACATCTCTGTATTTTAAGGGATCCTTAGAAAATGACCGCTCTTCGGATCAAGCAATAGAAGCCTTCCTCTCCTTCCTCGGGAATCTTTCTCATCCCTGACCCCTTGTAGAAACCACCGGCTCTGCTGCTAACCCAAAGGTTACAGGTTCGAATCTACCAGGGACATGTTAGAAGAAAGAACTGGGTATCTGTTTCTGAAAAAATTCAGCCACTGAAAACTCTGTGACGTGTGTGTGTGTGTGTGTGTGTGTGTGTGTAGCTGATGCCATGGAAACTTGTTTTAAATCCTTATCAGGAACCCTAAGAAAGTTCCCACGGCCCTCGACAGTTCTGCACCCAAAGGTTCTGGTTCAGTTGCTCTGGGGGGAGACCCCAGCGTCAGCCCTGGCTAAGAGACCTCCAAAAGCTCTGTTGTTCAGTTGAGGTTGGAAACCCACCACTCTGACTCAGGGTAACAGCTCGCTCGGTTTTCTGTTCTAGGTGTCTCGACATACCAATGGATCCCTAACCAGGAACCCATGTCTCTTGTTCTGCCTGCCTTTGAAGTCCCCATCCACTGGCTCTTGCCGCTACCTGTTCTGTGGATTGCTTTGCCCCACACTGTCATGGGTCCCCACTGGGGGCAGCTGGCGGTGTCGCGCTGGAATCTGTGTCCATTCGGCAGTGGCAGTGGGCTGTTCGCAGGAAGCCGAGCTCCCCATGCTCTGGAGGGTCTCTGGGTGCGGGCGCGCACATCCTCCGTGCCTCGCAAGTCCGTTTCCTGTGGTTGCCATAGCGCATTGCTATGAAAGGGGTGGCTTAAAACAACAGAAATAGATTCTGAGTTCCAGGAGCCAGAAGTCTACCACCAAGGTGTAGACGGTACCACACCCCCTCCATAGCCTTCTAGGGGAAGAGTCCTCTCCTGGCTTCTGGTGGGGTGTGACTGTATCACTCCCACAACCTCTGCCCCCGTGTCACGTGGCTTTATTGTATCTGTCTGCTCTTCTGTCTCTTAGAAGGGCGCATCCTGGACTTGAGGCTGAGGCAGTACCCAGGATCATCTCTGGTCAAGAGCTTAATGCCATGTCCAATGACCCTTTTTCTAAACAGAGTTCCACTCCCAGGTTCCAGGTGACACGTCGTTTGGGGAGCCACCACTGAGCCCACTACAACTAGGAAGTACCAAGCCCGCCCACGCCGCTTGTTGGCTAGTTCATGTTCCAGTAACTTTGGCCTCTGTTAGAGAGAGAAGCAACTCCCACCCCCAGAGAGGGGGTCTGCCCTGTGTGTCCTGCTGTCCAGTGTTCCTGTGTCTGAGGGGTTTGTGGCCATGTGGCCTGGGGCCAGCCCTGTAGCTTTTCTCAGGCTCTTTCCTTCCCCATAAATTGAGACTTCCCTTGGCACCACCTCCCGCTGCCACCGCCCCCCCCCCCTCCTCAAGGTTCAACGATAACCAGGGGAGTGGCTACCTGGGAAGCCCCGAGTGTCCTCGAGAACTCTGGGCCTTCTTGCCTGGAGGGGTTGCTGATAGTTGGTCCCCAGCTCTCTAGGACATTAGCATGCTGGGACCTTGAAGCAAAGGCTTCCTTCCGCCTCTTCCTTCACCCTCCAAGGGAAATGGAGCCAAGCCCAGACCACTCTGCCTGTTTTTTATTGGGTCCCGAACTCAGGACAGAGGCAGGGGGTACTGAAGCAGGGCTTTCTAGCCTCGCACCCCCTCAGGGTCCCCAGTCTCCTGTGTGCATCAATAGAGGGTAGAGGTTCTAGGAGGTTCAACCTCTTCTTGAGGCCTGCCTCAGCCTTGGGTTGGTTGCAGGGTCTGGCCTTGAGCTTGCCTTTGGCCTTGACCTTTCTGTGGGTCATAGGAAGCACCCCAACATCAAAGGCTAGAGGTCTCAAGGTGCTTCCCGGATGGGGGCCATGCAGGCTCTGGACAGCAGCAGCCTCGGTGTGAAAGGAGGGGAGGGGAGGGAGAGATGATCAGAAAGTCTGTCCAGGAAAGGGCTCGGCTCAGGAAGGGGGTTTCCAGACAAACGGGCTCTTCCCTTGGGGTACCACCCAGCCTGGGCCTGCCCTCTGGTTGTACCCTCCAGCCCTGACACCAGTGCTCAGCCTGGCCAGCCAGCAGTGCAAGTCACCATTGAAGGCCCACCTTGTTTGGTCTCTGGCTGGGTGCGGGTCTGTGCTCAGGCTGTGGGAGGACAATGAAGATTTTGGCCACAGGGAGTGTCATCCAGGCCTTCCCTGTGGTCCACAGTGCCTTAGAATCCACCAGCTTGTGCTGCAGCCTGGCGGCCCAGACCGGGGGAGAAGACAGCAGGCTGGGGAAGCCATAAGGGGCTGTGGGAGCGAGCAAGGCAGCTCATGAGGGTGGGCCTGGGGAAGCTGCCCCACTAGGTATACACTGCGGGCAGGGTGGAATGAGGGTGTGGTAAGGGCAGCTGTGTGCCCCTCCCACCCCCGTTCTTCCAGAAGCCACGGGAAGAACCTAAGGTTTGGAGACCAAGAGGCCTTGGTCTGCATCCCAGCCCTGCCCTGTCTGAGCTGCGCAGCTTCCTTAAACTTCCAGATTCCTCTCGTCTGGAAACTGGAGGAGAGCCCCTGTCTGGGTGGTTGTGAGGACCCAGGGAGCCGGTCTGGTAGGGACCCGGTGTTCGTTGCGGAGTGCTGCACAGGTAAATATCAGTTCCTATCCTCCAGAGGTAACTGTGTGGGGGCCAAAGCCGAGAAAGCCAGGGCTTTGGAGAGAGCAGCATGGGGACGAGTCCTGCGTCCTCGCAGCTTTGGGAAAAGTAGAACTTCCGCACAGGAGCCCGCTTTGAAGCGGACAGTGTGCACAAGTACACGTTTGGTTGCGTGTTTGCAAAAAGACTTGGAAAGTGACCCTCGCTTGCTGAATGGCTCTTGGGTGGTGGTGGGGGCCAAATGCAGGTCATTGGCAAAGTCTTGGCAGGGTAGAAAGCAACTGCCTGGGGACATTGGAGAGGTTGGGGACAATGGTCTTATCCAGGACCTGGGGGGGTCTTCGAACTCAGAGACAATGTGTTCAGGGGGTACAGTTGCCTGTCCCCACCAGCAAAGGTTCCCGAGCACAGGCAACCCCTCCTGTTGCAAGGGGGGTCCCGCTTGTAGGGACGGGGCCAGACCAGGGCTGTGGCATTTCTCGCCTTGCCTTGCTTCCCCTTTCCGGGGGCTGAGGTGATAGCAGTGGGGTCTGGCTTCTCCGTGTGCCCCAGGCTCCTGGCCCCAGCAACTTTCCTAGAAGCTGACCTGTGGGCGGGGGCCCCCGAAGCCTTGCCTTCCCCACAGTCTCGCTGGGGCTGCAGGTGAGGGAGTGCCGGGCGGACAGCCATCCGCCGGCGACACATTGACGCGGGCTTCTTGATGTTGCAGCCCTCGACCAGGAGCCGGATGCCCACGTACTGGGGCACGTCCACGGCCGGCTGTGGGGGAGAAGAGGAAACGAGGCCTGCTCAGTCAGGACCCAGGGCAGAGCGAGGTGAGCGAACTTCTGGGATATCTGGTCAGGAAATGTTTCCGAACTGAGAAGTAGGAAGCCCACCTCTGTCCACTAAGGGGTCTGGGCCTAAATCTGTATCTCACTGGAACAAACTCACAGCCATCGAGTCAGTGCTGATGCAAGGCGACCCCCTGTGGGTTTCCAGGGCTGTAACTGTTGACTGTAACCAACTAGTCTAGTGGTTGTGAACTGCTGGCCGTGCAGATGGCAGCCCAATGCATAGCCATGACACCACTAGGGCCTCACGAGTCTGTTATCTAGGGGGTCTCACAACTATGAGACTAGGGCCCTGGGGACTGGAAACCCAGAGGAGCGGGGAGTCCTAGGCATGCCCCCACTTGCACCTCTTCACCCCATTGCCACCCACTGTCACATGACTGCACTCCACCCCCAGCCCTGCCCCCTGCCAGGGACAGCTTCCATAGAGGGGTCTGAGCTGAGATCTGCAGACAGATAAGAGCCCTCCGACCCTGCCTAGTGCCTCCAGTAAGCCCAGGTGACAGTCGAACAGAAAGTATGCTTTTTCAGGGGACTCCTTTCTGCAGCTGCGCCCCAGGAGTCCCCTTTGACCAGGACAGCACAGAAGCCTCTGTTTGCTAAGGCAACGGCCAACCATCTGCTTGCTGGGAGTGAAGTGTGTGTGTTGAGGGAGCGAGCAGTCCACTGGCTGGGAAAATGACCGTGGGCCTGGTCAATGTCTCATCTCAACAGTGAGGCCAGGCTGGCTGGGCATCTGAGACAGCGCACCCAGATTTATAGCCTGAGGTAAGGCTCAAGACATCCTGACACACGGAACTGTAGCCAGAGATGAAAGAGAAAGAAATATGTAGCCTAAGACCCAAGCATGAACTTATTAACGGATTAGAAAGCAGCTTCCGCAGAGCTGTGATCCCCACTCCCCTTCGAATGTGTTCTTCCCAACGAGGTCGATGGACAACATCGCCGCCCTCTCCCACCTGGGGGGGGAGCCTGCTTCACCTCTTCTGGATTGATCCTATGCTTAAATAAAACTTCGGCTTAACTCTTTGATGTGTGTGTGTGTGTGTGTGTGTGTGTGTGTGTGTGAGAGAGAGAGAGAGAGAGAAAGGAGAGGGAGGGGGAGGGGGGGAGAGAGGAAAGAGAAGCGGCTCTCTGGCCCTTTACAAATCACAGAAGTGAAGCTTGCTGGTCCTTCCCATCCCCCAAACCCTGTGCTGAAAGTGGGCCCTGGCCTTCTGCTGCCCCTGGGGGCTGAAGGTCACGGACCGGGGACCATGTGCAGAGACCAGGGACACAGGGAGGCATGGATGGCAGTGGGAGCTGAAACCACCTGTGTGAGTGGTTCCAAGGAGCACAGACAGCCTGCTCTGGAAACTTCACCCAATTCGCAACCGTTAAAAAAGGAAGCTCGGCTGACAAAGGCAGAAGGAACTACAGAATTAGAACTGTATCGTTTTGCAACTGGAAAAACTGACAAGCGCACACCATGAGGGTCCAAGCAATTCTGTCAAACATGAAGAGCAGGCAGGAGAGTGTTCGGGGGCTTCTTCAGCGAGACCATGGCAGACTTCTGTGGGCTTTTAGTTTCATGTTTGAAGCCCCCTGTTACAACACGCGCACAGCCAGCTTACAGATGACTTGGTAAGCACCTAGGGGCGGCTGCAGCTCACAATGGGGAGATCTGGTAACCGTCACCTTAAAGCCAAGGTCAGACTTGGCATCACCTGTCCAGAGGCCTCTGACAGTGGTGCCTTGTGATCCCATATAAGGTACGGAGCACCACCCCCTCCTCTCCTTGGGTGCGTTCCTGCCAAAAGTGCTTAACCTGAGCCACCCTCAGCTTCTGATCTAACTCCTAGTTCACAGGACTTTGAGATGGCGGAAGGGCATGGTACACACCACAAGGAGACGGGGCAGTTCTACAAAGCAACCAGCCACTCTTGAAAAGCTCTGGGGGGAAAAGGGGTGGAGGGCAGGGCTGTTCTAGATCTAAAATGATTAAACAACCAAATGCAAGGCATGAAGCTTGATTCAATTATGGACTTTTTAAAAAAATCAACTACAAAAGGCATTTGGAGGCAACCAAGGAAAGTTGGCAAATGCAGACACATTATCTGTCTCCGTGGGCAGGCGATATGCCTTTGAGGACTAAGGTGCATCTGACCCAAGCCGTGGTTGTCTCCCTTGCCTCATATGCATGGGGAAGTTGGGCACTGAGTAAAGAAAATCGAAGAATCAGTGCGTTTGAATTGTGGTGCTGGAGAAGAATATTAAAAGTATCATGGACTGCCAAAAGAGCAAACCAGTGCGTCTTGGAAGAAGTATGGCCAGAGTGCTCCTTAGAGGTACGGATGGTGAGATTTCATCTGACACACTCTAGACATGTTGTCAGGAGAGACCAGTCCCTGGAGAAGAAGTTCATGCTTGGGAAAGTGGAGGGGCAGCATGGAAGAGGAAGGCTCTCAAGGAGATGGACGGGCACAGTGGCTGCAACAATGGGCTCAGACATAAGAATACTGGCAAAGATGGCCCAGGACCAGGCGCTGTTTCCTTCTGGAACGACTGCACAGCACCTAAACCCATCAACAGTCTGCACACGGAAGTCCTGACTCCATTCTGGATCTCGTGTCTTGGACGGTGTGAGGCAGGGATCCTGCTTGACTTTCTGCAGGTGGAGCTCGTTTCCCAGTACCATTTATTGAAGAGACTGCTCATTCATTCCATCACAGGGACTCAGCACCACTGCCAACTGGCCACAATTGCCTGGCTTAATTTCTGGGGGCTCAATTCCATCCCATTGGTCTGTGTTGGCTGTGATACCAGAACCAAATGGCTCTGATTGTGGCAACGGTGTGTTCTTCTTGCTCGGTGCTGTTGGGTCAATTCCAACTCGTAGCAACCCTGTGCACAAGGGGACGAGACACTGCCTGGCGGGGCCCCGTCCTCACAACTACAGTCACAGTTGAGCCCATTGTTTGAGCCACTCGTGACCCACCTGGTCAGCCAGAGGTGGGAGTCCTCCTCCGCTCTTCTTTTTCAACATCAGTGTTGGCCATCCGGGCCCTCTTGCAGTTCCACATAAAACTGAGGAACTGGTTTCTCAATTTCTGTAAAGAAGGCTGCTGGGATTTCGATCAGGCGATTGATTGATTGATTTTAAAAGCTTGTCTGGTTCTATCCATCCGTCCGTTCATGTATGGACTCATCTTCCGTGATTACAAGTACAATAACAGTGATAACGGCAGCTACCTCACATGGATCCCGATGACGACGCCCATGTACCGTGACACTGCCAACGACGTGTCAGGCCCTGGCCACCACAGGCCATCCCCGTGGCACCACAAGGTGCCAGGCCCTGTTCTGACATGCTGTCCCGTGCCAGCGCCTCTACTTCTACAACCACTGCGCGAGGCAGAGACCGCGGTCATTTCCACTCTACCAATGAGAAACCCGAGACCCTCCTGAGTTTAGGAGCATGTCCAAATTACATAGCTCGTACCTGCTGCGCCAGGACTTAAGACTCAGAGGGGTTCCAAAATGGATGCTCTTTGCGCGATGCCATATGGCATCGCGGGAGACCCTGAGCTGGATGAACGACCAAGGTGCTCCGTCGCTCGCTCGCTGGGAGACCAGAAGTCTAAGTCCACCTGAGGTGCTTCAGAAGAAAGGCCTGGCGGCCGGCTTGTGCAATACCAGCCACGGAAAACCCACGCGCTCTACTCGGACACCCAACTCAACAGAAACGAGCGGTACCGTCTCTCCCAAAACATCATCCCCAGCTAACACCCATGGCATCCTCTCAAGCCCCATGAGGAGGATGGGGGCATCCCCTCCACTGTACGGCTGAGGACTGAACTCAATTACCGTGGCAAGGCTGGCTCACTGACAGGGACAGTGCTTCCCTCAGGGGCTGCCTGGAAGAGGGGAGGGGCAGAGATCCCGAGGGAGGAGTGTGTGCCCCGTCTTACCAGGCGGCCAACTCACCTGCTTGTAGATGAGCTCGAAGGCTCCAGTGTCACAGTTGCGGTCCTGCCGCCGGTCAATGACCACACGCAGGGTGTCAGCTTGCACCCCGGCACAGAGGCGGGCGGTGACAGCCGTGGAGGGCGCCATGGTGGGGCTGGCGTTGATCTCAATCAGCCAGGGCCTGAAGTCCTCCCCAAACACAAAGTCCGCCCCATAGAGCTCGAAGCTGGCCTTCCGACCCTGCACGGTGTCCTGGGAGGTCTGCAGTGCATGGACCACAGCGGCCTTCATGCCGGGCACAATGATGGTGGCCCAGGCCTCTGGGGCCCCCATCTCCTGCAGGTGGAGCTGGAATTTCTCGCTGGACCACATGTTGTCCGGTGGCAGCTGCGGATGCCGGCGGCAGGAGTTTTCCAGGTGTTTCTGGATGGAGTTGTTGCACAGGTGTACGGAGCTGGGGCACAGAGCAGAGAGCTGACACCCTGGCTCCTGGCCTCTCCCACCCAATCTGGAGCCAGCCCAGGGGCCACCTGTGACCATTCAGCTTAAGAGGGTCCCTGCTGGGATAGGGGGCAGCTAAGGGGTACAAAAGCTAGCTCAGGCCTGCTCAGGGCCTTGGGTGCCCAGACATCCCTCTAAGGCTAGCACCAGCTGACAGCAGCTACAGTGTGAAGTGCTCTATGCTTAATCTGTTAACCCTTCCAGTGCTGGCACCTAAGAAGGTGGGTGACAGCGATGTAATTGTATCCCCTTTAAAATATGTATTAGAGCTTTAGACCCTGTACCTGTGGATGTGACCCTGTTTGGAAATAGGGTTTTGTTTTGTTTTTTATGTTAGGGAGGTCATGATAGAGCAGGGTGGGTCCTAACCCTCACTACTTCTGAGTTATGAAATTCACTTCTGTTGCTCCCCTGTGACTCTGCGCTGTGTTTTTCTCTTCCTAGCAAGCATCACCTTGTAATGTGCTGGATCCTTCGACTGAGGGCGTGCAGCGCCTGCCAACTGTTTCTCCTGCTGGAGTGTAAGCAGCCTGATTGAATCACGTGTAACTCCTCCATTATAGCAACTGCACTTCTGTTGGGCCCAAGACCTGGGAACTGTAGCTTGGGCAAGCTGACACAGATTACTGAATACTCTAAGTGCCTGAAACAGTAAATGGCATACAGTACCTGGTAATTATTGATCAGATGCCTTTAAGTGTGGGTGAGTGGGTGGATGGATGGATGGCCTCCCTGTCTTCTGATAGAGAGTTTATAAGGCCCCCACCCAAGAACGTGTGGTTCTACTGCACTAGAACTGCCTGTGAAGGAACCTGGTGACTGCTGACCACAGGGTAGCAGTTTAAGCCCACCAGCCACTTCGCAGGAGAAAGATGAGGCTGTCCACTCCCATAAAGATCTCAAGTCTGAAAAACCCAAAGGGGCAGTGCTGGTCTGTCCTGAAAGGCCTCTGAATTGGGATCAACTCCATGGGAGTGAGTTTGGTTTGCATCTGGTAACTGCCTGCCTGCTGGCCATCTCCCGAACTCAGACTGGGAGGGGATGGGAGGTGAGGGGTAGGGGCGCTCACCTGTCCAGGTTCTTCAGCGAGAAGGGCTGCGTGGAAAAGCGGATGTAACTATCTCGGTAGAACCAAACGGTGAGCGGGTTCCAATCAGTCACCAGGAACCACTGTCTCAGGTCAAACTTGGTGCCAAAGATGAGCAGAGGCCTCTCGATGTACTTCTGCACTACCCACTTGCCGTCCTTCATCACCAGGGGGTTGCAGTCCACCAGTTTCAGCATCTCCTCCAGGTGGTCCATGCACAGAATGCCTAAGGGGGGGGGGGGGCAGGTTAGGTCAGGGGTCAGAACCAGGCCAGGGCTGGAAGCAGGCCACTCAATTCAGAGTTCATCTCCCCCAAACAAGGGTCAGGTCAAGGAGGAAGGTGCCTCCCTCCATCGGATGAACCCTTCCTTTAGGGAAAGTGCTACGTTGGCCCAGATGCTTTCTAATTCACCAATGGTTTGACGGAGCAGGAATAGGTCTGGATAAAATTTCTAACTCGGGCCTGACACAAAATCCTGTGTCAATATTACTTTGATTAATCTTCCCGACAATACTTAACAGAACATAAGCAGCAGCAGCACAAATCAGGTGAAACCAGAGGTTTCAACCACATGGTTGAAACAATCTTTCCCTTCCAGGGCCTTGTGGATACTCGGCCCCCGTCTTGTGTATGTCTCTGTTTCACAAGACTGTGTGTGTCAGGGATCTAGAACAGGCTTGGTACATGGGAAGCATTCAGTCCACGTCTACTCATATCCTCATGACTGTTCATCATCTGTAGAATAATACAGTTCCTAGCAATGGAATCGCTGCCTCTCAAAGGTATGTGCCTTTTCCATGTTTATCCTGCCAAGTTGACCCACTCCTTGCAAGGAGCAGTGGTGGCCTGGTGAGCTCCGCACTGAGGGGCTAACTACAAGGTCAGCAGTTTGAACCTAACGATGGCTTGGAAGAAGAAAGATGAGGCTGTCGGCTCCTGTCAGAGATTTACAGTCTGGGAAACTGCAGGGGCAGTCGACTCTGTCCCCTAGGGTCACTCTGAGGCAGTGAGTTTAAATCAGAGTGCCGTTTACATTGATCTGCCAAGATAGCCTCATCAATTTTCCCTCCCAGCAAGGATGTCTGGAGCTGTGTGTGTCCCTGCGTCCCACTCAACTCTGTCCATGATCACATCGTTTCTTGTGCCTGCTAGGGCGGGAAGGGTACTGCATTGACTTCATCTCTTTCTATGCTTACAAGGCACTCGGGGTAAGATTCAGAATCATGCTACACCTCCCTCACAAGTCCATCTCTCTTCTTCACTTTGGACCCACAAAGCAGCTCGGTTGCCTGCCAGTGGTGGCAGAATAATGGGTCCCAGATCTGTTCTCAGATGACCAGGCTGACCAGCAGAATCCCCAACAAGACACCACCTTGTGTAACCAAAAGTTAACAGTGGCTCAGTTTCCTCTCTAGTCATTTGTCCTATGGAAATAAATGGGCCACAGATGTTCATCAGCACCGCTTAAAACAGCAATATAAAAAGAAAGAAAGAAAATAGAATAGCTAGCAGGAGGAGGCATTATTGCTAAAGGGTTCCTGAATTTCTGGGCGGTGGAGAAGTTTTAGAAATAACGTTAGGATGTATTTAATGCCACTAAACTGTACGTATGCTTAAAATAGTAAGTTTTTGTTTATGTGTGTGTGTAGAAAACCATGATACGATTTAAAAACATAAGGTCGGCAATGCTAATCTATGTGCTGCCAGAGAAACAAGCTAATCCTGGAAGCAGCACTGTCAGAATGCTCCCAGCAGGCAGGGTGCAGAAAGACCAGCCACTGGGCACACAGGCAGAAGGCTGAGCTGGCAGGAAGGAGTAGGGAGTGAGGGCGACCGGCATCCACACTCAGCAAGCGGGGAGAGTGCTGGTACACTGCAGGGACTGTCGTCAAACAAAACACCTACGAATTGCTGAGTGGAAAACCCATCCGCTCCGCTAAGTTCCCCTTGGATTACAATTAAAAGTTAAAAAGAAGCCAAAGAAACGAAGTGAGATCAGTGGGACTTCAGCTCACAGACTTTGCGCATGTTGTCAGCAGAGACCAGCCCTTGGAGAAGGGCCTCCTGCTTGGCGGGAGAAAGAAGACCCTCCAGGCCATGAGTGGACACAGCAGCTGCAGCAATGGGCTCAAACATAAGGATGATTGTGAGGATGGTGCAGGACGGGTGTGTGTGTGGGGGGGGGGGGTGTTCTTTTATGCTACACACGGTGCCTGTGGGTTAGAGCCTGACAAGGTCACCTCCACAGAAAGGTTTCCGCTCAGTTACTTGTTACAGGTGGCTATCAATGGCTCCAATTTCCCAAAGAGGACAGACAAGGCACCGAAGAGGGTTACCGAGGTGCTCAAAGCCTTGCAGAGTGAGAGAGAAGCAGGCTGTCCTGCACCACTGTGCATACCCACACAGAGGTACCAATCCAGTCTGTCGACTGGGAGAGCCAGACCTGAGCATCCCCACATCTACCCAGACTCTCAGTGAGTCCTGGTGGCACAGTGGCTCAGCAGTGGCCTCAGGGTCAGCAGTGTGAAACCACAGGGGGCAGTTCTGCTCTGGCCTCTAGGCTTGCTCGAGTCGGAATGGACTGATGGCCGTGGTTGGAGGGCAGAGGGGGAGGAGATGACATCATCTTGACAGTCAGTGTCCGGCGGGAGGCCGTGGGGGGTGGGGGTGGGGTGCGCACTCCCTGCTGGCGCTGTGCTGAGCTCAAGCTGAACAATCTCATTCAGATGTAGTGACCTCCATTTCACAGAGGAGGAAATGTGAGGCTCAGGTGATGTCACCGTTCAACATCACACAGCTTGTAAGTAGCAGAGCTGGGATTCAAACCCAGGCAGTTTGTCTCCAGAGCTGGCACTATTCACCTGCCTGGCCTCTGGTGAGGGAAGCGAGCTAAGGGGTATGGGTACAGGAAGCAGGGATGACCCCCACCTCGTCCACGGGACTTGGCTCCTGGCTTCACGATCCAGATGTTTCGATCGCCTTCCATGTCGATCTGGGGCACCACCGCCCGCAGCTGCTGTAGGATGTCCTCACAGCGCTGCACCTGAGCGTCCAGGTGCTTCAGTTCCGCCCCCTCACTGTGGGGAGACAGGGAGGCATGGGGGACTTGGACAGGGCCAGGCCTGCGGACAGGTAGGTCAGCAGGGCAAGAGAGACCCAAGCCCCCTTGGCCACAGTTCAACCAACCTCTGAGACCCTGAGAAACAACCTAAATCTCCATCCAGACCTATGGGGCCGAAGCCCCCACCCTGCCTGGGGCACCATCCCAGGAAGGGTGGGAAAGTCCCCCTGCAGTGCTCTTTCCCTAACCCTACCTTTGTCCTTTCCCTTCAAGGGAGCTCCTGCTGATGAGAGGGGAGCCAGGGCGTTACAAACGTCATCCCTAAACCTCCCCA